GTAGTCGTCGTCGTCGTAGCTGTAGTAGTAAAAATAATGGTAATAGTAGTAAGTAGTTGTACTCGTCGTCGTGGTGGTACTGGTACTAGTATTAGTAAAAGCAATAGTAGCAGTTGTAGAAGTAGTAGCAGCAGCTAACTGGAATTGGGTGTCAGACCCCAGATGAAATGGTAGTTATTTGGAGCCACATCACGTGCTAAATTACCTCGCCCCCCCACCCCCGCCCCCGCGAAAGACCCCTCACAGATTCTCGTTGCCTTTGTAGTAACCTTCATAGCAACCCTTATTGAACTATGATCCTTTTTGATGAACCGTGTAGAAACGGTTACTGTAGCAACTCAAAGGTACGTTATCGATGGCCGCCGCGTGCGCTTAGCCTGGGGCGCGAAAGCAGAGCTCCTGGCAAGCGAGGAAAAGCTGACGGGCCAGGATCCGTGGGGTTTAGTTTTTATGATTTTAGGGTGCAAGGCTTAGGATTCTCGGTTTATAGGTTTTTGAAGAGGGCTTGGGGCGTACGGTTCAGGGTCTTGGTTCAAGGTTTGGTTATAGGGATGTTCGGGTGTAAGGTTCAAGTGGTACGGTTCAACTCTCAAAGTTTAAGGTTGAGGCATTTATAGTTTATAACAGGTGATGGCAGGTAAGGTTCAATCACGATTTGGGGTTTGAGGTGTAAGGTTTAGGACCCGTAGTGTTTAGGGATTGTAGCATAGCTTAGCTAATAGTGAACATGCCTGCATTTCTTGCAGGGCTGTCTTGGACGTCCAAGCTATGCGCTCAATGTACGTAGGGTAACATATACGAGATACGAGTGGACATACACAGACACATACATATGCGCGCATACATACTTGTATATACTTATAACTATTAGCAGCTATTATACTTATATATATATATATACACATGTGTGTGTGTATATCGACCGTTTGACTTACATGAGGCATTCTGTAGATCATGACGGGAAACGTCAGTATAGCGCCTTCCATTTGATTCTGTGGCTCACTGACCCTCTGAAAATCATGCCTGCATTTGGCTTTTAGAGGTTTAGTTTAGGGTTTAGGGTTTAGGGTGCATATGGCTTTTAGAGGTCGGTGGGTAGATATATCATATATCGGTAGATTCGTCGATAGACAGACACGTGGACAGATGGAGCTGCGGCTTTTACTAAAGTGTGTTGTCGTTACGGAGGTGGACAACGGGGCAGTGTAAAGCCCACACAAGTCCTGACGTGAGTGCCGAAGAATTAAGCCATGCCCAGATAAACCTTTTCAGAAACCCAGGTGCAATCCCGTACAGGAGCTCTGATACCTTCCGGCATCCTTGACGGAGCCCGTACAGAAGCCATTGGCGGATCCTTTCTAGGAACTCTTAGCTAAACCCTTGAAGGGACCTTCACAAAAACAACCAGAATGGAACCTTAAACCCTACACCCTAATCCCTAAACCCTAAACCCGCACAGAAAGCCTCAAGGAACCCTTAAGGTGTAGGGTTCCTGTAAAGGGATCCCCGTTTCAGGATCCCTCCAACGGTCCCGCAGTGCCCTTGACGAGCTACCTTCGTCAGGCCAAGTTCTGGGAAGACCGAGGGTTCGTGGTGGTCACAGGTTTAGGGTTTAGGGTTTAGGGTTTTTAGGGTTTAGGATGATTCTGACAGTTCTGAAGATGGTTATTCTTGTTTCGATGAGTAGTCTCGGCAGTTCGTTGTGATTGTTATGATCTGGAATTACTATTCTCATTGGTAGGATGGTACTCGTCTTTTGCGGTTATCATGACGAGCACGGCAATTCTGGCCAATATGGTTAGTATCGGAATAGTTTGGTTACTTTACTGTTTTATGATTCGTCTGTTTCTGCTTGTGATGATGATGATGATGCTGATGGCGAAGATGATGATGAAGACGATGATGATGTTGTTGATGATGATGATGACTGGGTTTCTAGTAAAGGGGTCACGCATGACGGCTTGTACAGAGCTTAAGAGGACCATAGGCTTGAGGGCTGAGATAGGGTTAGCAATACAGGGCATCACACGGCTTGGGCTTAGGTTTACAGAGGGATTGGCCTTATCAGGTTAGGTTTCGAGATCGGGCAGTTCTACGCCGTCATGGTTTGGGAAGCAAGTAAAGACTAGTTCCTTAAACCCCAAACCGTCGTGTCCCATCTGCGAGGGTCGAAACTCTTAAACCCTCACATGCTCAAATCTACCAGCCTTGACCAGGAGAGTATAACGTAGGCTGCTTCCACATTCGCCAAACCCCGCTTCGGCTATGTGCTGCATTACGCCAAAACGGTTTAGAGCTCAGGGTTACCAAAGCATATGACCACATCGTTTCGCTCTACGTCGCCTTCACGAGTCAAAACGAAGCTAACGCGTTTTCGCTGATCGTGTGCCAAACCTGAGTGACTTCGAAAGCACCAACCCGAAGTACAAAGGCGACGGCAACCAACAAATCTTGCCCTGCACCCGAATCCCACAGGACAAGCGCAAACAACTAGCCTCATCCAAAACTACTTGAGCAACAAAGTCCAGTTCTTGGAACCCCCTAAACGAAAAAACAAAAGACAGACATGGTTCCATTCCTTGAAACCTTAAACCCAAAATCCTAAATCCTCACAGAACAGCCAAAGCAACTTTCAAAGAGTGAGAATGCAGAGCCAACAAAATGGTACATTAATGTCTCCAAGAAACAGAGGACCTTGTAGTGTATAGAACCCTCAAGAACCGTTCGGTCCAAGTTAATACCCCATAGTCATATATGGAAGAACCGTATAGGATACAGAACCCTTAAGCAGCGGGTAGTCGTCCCATGATAGCAGATTGATACTCTAAGTTGTTTCAGTCCCCTAGAAATAGTGTTCAGCTCAAATCCCGTAACGAAGGAGTAGACCCCCTAAAGTCGTAGCACAACAGGACATTATCACATATCCTTCACCTTAGTACAAGTAGGGTAGACATTTGCCTTTTAAGCAATATGGATGATTATATTGTCTCTCTGTATATCTCGGTTTGAGTGTCTCTCTTTATAGTTTGCACTTGACTTGTATTCTGGTTTTATTTGAATATGCGGTACACTCATGTGGCAGAGCATTTGTAGAAAAGGCACACCACGTCTCAAATCCAGCGCCAGGCCACAGAACCCTAAACCCCTAAATCCTATAAACCTTATAACCCGGACTGCACACGTATGTAGAATCATTGCATGTTGCAGGTGTTGGCCAATTATTGTAC